CTGGTAACTGGTCACTTATTTTTAATCCCCAAGTGATTTTTGTTAACTCCCCTCAACCGTCCCCCCCCTCCTGCCTATACGTTGATTTAATGCAGTGTCCTTTACCTGATCATTATTTAAACTGAACTGTAATCCTTGCTGTTATGCCATTCATTCTGGGAAATTTCAAACTGTTTTATGTTCTCTTCATTATCATCCTCATGCAGCGGCAAGATGCAATTGAGAAGCTGTCACAAAGTTTATTGATATCAGTAAATCTTGCCTTAAACGCCTATTTTAAATTTGTGCTGGGGAACAGATGCTTCAAGTTAAATATAAACCAAGTATTTTATTTTTCTATCCTTCTCTGATAAATGCATACTCCTATACCGCTTATATTCTATAGTTCAGTTCCTCCTCGTTGATGCTGCTGCATTATCCAACCTAAAGATTTTAGTTTTTCTTCAGAATGATTTCCTTCACGTTTACTTATTTTTTTGGATGTTTCAACTAAACTGAGGCCACTATCCATAAGAGAGTTTAGGTAGAGCACTTGCTAGTTCGACTTTAAGAAACGTCAGCAAAAGTGATTACTACGGTCACTTCGCGACTGCATTGCAGGACACCATTAAAATCTAAAGGCTAGAACTCAGAGACGAATTGTAATCAGTTGAAGGCCTTTATGGACTCAAAAGTCTGGAAGACAATTATTATTCCTAGTATATATTTGCTTTCTATCAACATCCTCCTTTGATTTTCGATATTTTTTAAGTATATGACATCCCATAAACGTTTCAAGCACTTGATGAGTCCACTGATCCTTCCTTTACTCATGAAGCGAGTGGATAATTTAAGAGCACAGTCCAATGATCAGAGATAACGGTCATGTATAAATTGCTGCTGAGTAAAGAATAGTACAGCTAACGATAGGACAACTATCAGAAAATACGGAATGCGCCGGTGCTCCTAGACTAGAAAAATTAAGGGAAACTAGGATAGGGACAAATCTGCTGATATTCGCTGAAGAGGAAAATGTTACTACTTCTATGAGAATGATTAAGAACATTTTTGGAATTCCTACCTTTGTTCCAAGCATGATGGAAACAGGTACAATTCCAGCTAAGAACAGAAGTGTAATGTTTAAACGCATTTGCCGAATGTTGTCCTGATAGGCACGGTATTCGCCATGTGTGCGACAATAATAGGGCGTACTCGAGTATTTTGGAGAAAATCTTTTCAACCTGTAAATATAGAAAAGCCTTTTCTGAAACTAGCATTGTTCATGTTCGTGGAAAGTTTCCTTTAATAGCGGTCGATAGTTGCATCAAATAGGGGTTCATATATGCCGACAACAAAGCTCCTCAGCGCTAAGTGTATTGTGTTTGCTGTTGAGATTATTATAGGACGCAAGCAAGACTATGTTTTTTGTTTCAAATAATTAACTCCTTGTCTTCCGCAGCTTGACCAATAGAACTCTCAACCTCTGCCTAAGAAAACTGTTTCTGTTTACTAGCTGGTCATACATTAAAAAAAATATTTCACGCGCTATCAGACATAGTGTGAAGTCCCTTGGCTTCTATTCAGCAAGAAAGTCAAGGAACAGAATAATTCATTCTTAAATAACATAAATGATTAGCAAATGCCCATGGGGAATACAATTTCGCTTTTTAACATAACCGGAACATCTTTTGATATTACTACTTCCCTCTCGTTCACGTGTATATGACTATTTCAGTGGGAGTTGTTGAACTGTAATCAGTGGTTGCTACAAAGCGTTGGACGAACAATGAATGTACCAAGTAGGAGTGAAATAAAGAGAAAAGATTATACTTTTTAACCGTCGATTGCAGACGATCTTAACAGTGAAGTACAGGAAAACAAAAAAAACGGTCTAGAACTAAGGGCAGAGAACTATAGAGGTGTCCCGGAAAATGGACATGTATAATAACCGCTTACTTACAAATGTTCAGTAGGGTGAAGTTCTGTAATCGTCCATTTTCTCGGGACCCCACAGTAGTTTTTTACCGAACTTAGCTGTCCTTTTTGACAACGACATTCGCACATAGATAGAGTGCAGCTTTTCAATGTTGCAATGCCCTTGGCTTTTACTGGCCAAAGTTCTTTGACGAGCATACCCTGACGTACGCATTTGGTGTATTCGGGCCTTGCTTTTGCGCCAGCAAAAGTGACGGACGTGTTGCTTTATAAGACATACTAAATCCTTCTTAGCTCCAACAGCAGCATGGAAATAAGAAACGTTAGGCCATCTGGTGTCATCGGAATTTTCTGCAGCGGACAACACTGACCCAGAGTTATCCATGGAAGCACTCAATCTCACCTTTCGGCATCTGCAGGAGATTTCTTCACAGGTAAAAAACGTGAATGCAATCACTATTGTCCGAATAGTAAGTCTGAGTAGGGTCACACTCACTTGCTACTTCTCAATGCTGCCACGTCTAACATACGTTTTTTAAAGCATCAGTATTCGGCAAAATTGATGTTCCAACCCTTGTGATTGGGTATGACTGGCTGATGAGGGCTAACAAGCTAGAAATGGCCATTCCGGTCTCCCATTGCTTTATCGGTGTGGCAGCAATTTCAGCGGCCACACCGAGGTTGGGTATCACTAGCCGATGATGCCTACTAAGGCAGAAAAGGCCTTCCTAGTGTCCCATGTCTTTGCTGATAATCTCCTTCTGCATATATCCTAGCTGCCTCGCGGTGGAGGCTCGAGAGAGAGCTATAATGGCAAATGGACGGACGAGTGGGACCTCTGACAGATCGGTGTTCGCATATATGCCACTATATATATAGTGGTACAAAATCAAACCGGTCACCTAGAGATAAACTGAAACAATAGCGAGGAAAGAGTATGTCATCGTGAATCTCTGGTCCAGACAAGAGATGCCTGTAAGTTCAGTTACTACCCGTCATTTCTAAAGTTTTAGTTGCATGACATTTAATAATACAGGCGTGACTAAATAAAAGCGAAAGACAGTCATTATGAATTACGCATTGTC